TTTCCCAAATAGTTGTCTATCGGTGTTTTAATCAGTATATACACTTGTTTCAATAAAGTTAGTCACCTGAAAAGCTACAAAGCTGAGACCGACAAGGATTATGGGTAGATACATTTTAAATGTCTTAACAGCTTGATAACTGTTGATGGACTTGAGATCTTCTACCAGTTACAAGTTCACCTCCTCCGAGCATGCTCAACTACTGCAGTTTGTGTCAAAAGCTTTACTTGTTGGATATAAAATATTTCCCATGATTCTCAGCGATCATAGCTTTCTAGGTTTTTGTTGACTAACTTTATTGAAATAAGTATATATAATACAATTTTAACAGACGACAACCGTCAGAGATGGCCAGCATTAGATGCATAAATATCAATGAAGGGAGCTCGTCCATGCCCGAGCAAATAACCGAGACCGATGCCGTTATATATGCTGATATAAAAGATGACCATGCACGTTTTGAAAATCCTGAAACAACCACCTATGCAGAGATACACGATTACATGTCACCATGTACTCTCCCTGTACCAGCATATCCTGGAMCATATGAAGCTACTGAAAAATACGAGGGGCAAGTATGTCAATCCGTTGATAACAAAGACACTGGAGAAGATGATGTTRATGATACACAGTATGAAAATGCTCCCAATAGTGCTACCCAGCAGCAAGTAGATGGTGTTTCTAAAATAGACCCAGATGGACAGCTAACAGTGACTAATGCTATCTATGCCACGGTTGACAAGTCCAAGAAAAAAAAATCAGCGAATAAACAAGTGGAGTTCGACCCTGTGTACGCACAGGTTGACAAAAGTGCAAAAACCAAGGTTAGTTTACGCCTGAGCATCACGTGGTGTAGGGGTACCTGCTTTGCTCTCGTGTAAGGTTAGTCATTGATTATTGGGTATTTTCCATTACGTCAATCTTTAGCGATGAACGCATGAGACATGCACAGATTAAGTAATGCTAGGCATTTTCCATCACTAAAATGGCTTAAACCTCGATCTAACCTGACAGAGAGAAAGCTAAAGTAGCCACTTTAAGAGTTTGCTAAAAAATCATTACTTTCATTTTATGACTTGGATGGTTTAGATTGGTCTTACATTTATTCACAAGCTGTATGATTGTCCTGTCTACAAAACAATTATTGCTTGGGCTACATCTACCCGTACTTAGTTTGTCGGGCGTATAGTACCAATCGAGAATGGAAAGGTCTATAGGGCCTACCCTAAGGGCAGCTACAATGGTCTTGAGTTACGCGTACTATCTTCTTTTCATTTCAGATCAACTTCTCCATCTAACTCACTGCAGTATACAATACCAACCAGCAATCTACTAATTTACGATCTACTAATTTGATATCGATTAAAAACCTGTTATGTCATTGATTTATATATAGTAAACAAATAAAGTGATTCTTCTTAACGTTTCTGGTCATCTGTATCTGTAACATGACTCTTTATAAAACATACAAGATGTGCAAAGATGAAGCTCTATCGGTCGCAGGGTTTCAGTTTTAAAATGTTTACGACTTGTTATTCAGAATATGATTTTCAGTTTCAGTGATTTTAAAATCTAGAGTAGAGAAGAGCAGTGCACGATGGAAAGTGAAAGAATTAAAACTTCAACACACGGTGACCCGGAAAATACGATGACTTTACGGATAACATCTTGTCGTGAGCTAATACGGTAAACCGCGTTATTGATATATCATAAAACTACATATTGCCAAAAAAAAAAGGAATCGTAAAAGATACGCGATACTTTACTGAAATGAAACAACTTGGTATCATAACTGACGCATGCAGAATTATACAATATGGACAACATCTTGTTGTAGCTAATAGTAAACCGCTTTACTGATATATAAATATGTATGGACAAAAAGGAACCGCAGAACTTAGACGAAACCACAAAATACAAACTTTAGAAAATGAAACAACTTGGTATTACTGACGCATGAAGAATTATACAATACAATTTATTTCGATCAACAGACTACCACTATTTTAGTATATAAAGCCTCCGTTAGTTGTAGACATCCTATAGGGTTTCCTTAYTTTGTGTGGAAGGTTCTGGAGGTCAAATAAAGGTCGACTTTGGAAACTCTTTGAATTGGCAGTAAATGTGCATGGTATATTTCAAAAAAGATTCCCAAA